GGGGGGGGGGTTGCAACAACAGATGGCACAGGCAGCACAGGCACACACACGGCCTGGTGGGGTCGGCTCGGCAGCTCCTCCCGCCCGCGCCCGCGCCCCCGCGCGTCGCGGGGCCTGCGGCTGCCTGCCTGCGGCCGCGTCGTGACAGCCAGTACGGCCAGTACAGTCCCGGCCAGCGCCAGCAGGCGGAGCCGCGAGCCCGTGAAGCCGTGGGCAGTGCGTTGCGTCCCGTCCCGTGTCGCGCACCCCGGGCGACCGCCGCCGTCGCCGTGCTCTCGGGCCCCGAGGCCCTCTGCCGCACCTGCCCGTCGGCATACCCACCGTGCTGGTGGTCGTCGTGCGCGCTCTGCCCTTACCCAGCTGTGCTCGCCATAGCGAGGACTTACCTCTCTTGACAGCCGCGGACGTCATCCGGACGTCATCGCTGTTGGTTGGTCGGTCCCGTTTGGTCCGTGCCTGGCACTGGCGGTATCGGCGCCCGCTGTCCGCTCTGCGCCGTGCAGTGCCGAATACTTACAACTTAAGAGCTTTGCAACAAAGTTCTGTGCGGCTGGAGGTCCTTTGCTGTGTGCTGGCGTCCTAGCAGCGGTCCCTCTCGTGTCAATGCAACTGACCCTTAAATCAAACAAACATGAAGATCAAGTGGACCTTCCCGTAAGTGTTTTCCCCCATCCGGTGTTTCTGTCATTGGGACTGGTGTATACTTTTTGTTAGCAGTGGATACAGGGTACAGTGCTACCTGCCACCTGCTAGTGTCACCTGCCACACCAATGTCTAATGGAGATGTTGAGGGGGTGGGATGTTTGTGCTTAATGAGCGAGGAAAGGAGGTGATTAAGGGATAAGAAGAGAAAAGTGCCCAACTTCAATTGTGTGTTTATTTTGTGTGTTGCAGTATGCTGTGCATTCAAGAAGATCACGGTCAGCTGGCTATCCAACCCACAACCAAGCTACCAATAGATTTGGAAAGGGGCACTGATCCAAGTTATCTGTATGGTTATTATGAGCGAGAAAACGTTGCTGTGGTTAATGGCGCTATGAAGGAGCAGCAAGGCAACAGCAGTCCTGAGGACCCAATTCCTCACTGCGCACCAATGATGGGTCCTGTTCGTGGTGGATGGATGGATGGCATTCTGGGCTGTCTGCGGCCAGTGTGGACTATGATTGGAAAAGCCTCAAACAATGAGATGAAAGCCAATCAAGGTAACAAAGAATTATTTTTTTTAACATACGTATCTATTTCATGTCTAAAATGGTTAATTAAATTGTGTACTTATTTCTTGTTTTAGTTGATGAATGGGAAATCTCATTTGAGGATATAAGTGACCTGCAGTTCTTAGGGTCTGGTGCCCAGGGAGCTGTATTCAGAGGGAAACTGAAGAATGAAATTATAGCAGTAAAGAAAGTCAGGGAACAGAAAGAAACTGACATCCGTCATCTAAGAAAGCTTAACCACCGAAACATTGTTCAGTTTAGGTACGTACCTGTATATTTGGCAATTTCATTGTGAACATTTTTAAATT